AAGCTCGGTATTGTTGCTGACCGATGTGTTGTTGCTCATCGATTGCCTGTACATAAGCTGCAAGTCCAGCCAGGAAATGCGCAGAGTCCACTGATCTAAATTCTCCAATATGCGCACTATCATCAAGCGCTGATCCAGCTCTGATATAATATTGAATTCCGCCTCCGGATAGCAGATCATGTGCAGCACCCGCTGCGCCTGCTTGGCGGTCAGCATCTCATCGATAATCATGTCGCACAGCTGCTCGGCATTCTTCAAGCAGCGCTCGAGCACATGCTCCTGCGCACAGATCTGCTTGAGAACCGCCTGCGCAAACTCTAGAAGTGAGATTTGCTCGTTGCCCGCCAGGCTGCTGCCAGTCGGCTGCTGTAGGGACTCCTGTTCACTTCCCAGGCTGCCTAGTTGCAGATCGCTTGTTCCCAGTATCTGGCTGAGGTCTGCCGGTCGTTGTTCGTTACTCTTGGGTGTGCTACCAGGATGCACGGGTGTATTGAAACCGCTGCGTTTACCGCTGCCGAAGGCACTGCCGCTCCCAGAGGAACCCAAGCCGCTGGACCCGAGCGGCGTCTTCAGCGCCGCGTTATCCACCACAATGAGTATGGCCTTGAGCACAGCTAAAACTGCCGCAATCGGTATGGTTTTGTGTGCGCCCACAAGCAGATGACGATCACAGCTTAGACGAATGCTAAAATCATTTCCAACTGCATGCAGCGGATTGGGGGATGTGCTGACCGAGTACATGCCCGGCTGTGGGATTTCCAGTGTCTTGAACAGCTTCAATACTAGATGACAGGTGAGCCGTGCGCCTGCTTCTGCATCCACGCTTAGTTCTCCGCCACTAGCGCCGCTAACTGAACGCGCCAGAGTGGGCAACGCAAACTTACTAACGAAATCCGCAAGGGAAAAGCAATGGCGAGCCACCAGAATGCATACGAAGACGGCCAGAGCATTGTGCGTCTTGCTTTGGCCAATATCCACTTGAGCCCCCAGATGGGGATATCTTGGACTCTTGCTGCCGCTGCACAAGCTCTGCAAGGCCGCGATCCACTCCTCGGAAAGAACATTGCAGCTGGCGGTTAGCTCGGCGCAAGCGAGCGCTACATCATTTAAACGCTCGTTATCCGTTTCCCGGCAGACGGCGATGACGGCATTGGACACAAAGCTATAAACGTTGGCAGGGGATTCATGCAACTGACGCAGCCAGTGAGACTCCAATTTGCCACCACGTCGCGGCGCCACAAACAGCTCCTGTAGCAGCTGCGGATTGTAACCTTGTGGAGCCATGCTGTAAAATTTTAGGAAATGATTATTCTTGTCATACGAGCAATTATCTTAGAGTAACTTACCTCAGCTGTTCGGGTGTATTGAAAATATCCTTGAAGCGCTTGATGCAGTTCAACTGTTGATAATATTCGGCTGCCTGTTCCTTGCCCTGCAACAGTATGCAGGACTCGTGCAGATCGCTTAGATAGGCAAGTATACAGCGTTCCGCGGAGCTGCATTCGCTGGGATTGCTCACATGACGTATGGTGCGACAAAGGCCCTCAAAGACGGATACCGTCTGCTCGGGCGAGAGCAACAGGCAACTGTGATAGCGTCGCAGTATGCTGACAATGTAGAGGGCCAGCGAGGTGGTATAGCTACGCACCATATTTGACTTCTTCTGCTGCAACTGATGCTCCACCTCGGGTAGTTCTTTAAGCAAATTATCGCACAGCTCGAGCAGACTGTAAATGTTAAGCGCAAGCTCCATCAGATCGAACAGAAATGCAACGTGCTCCTGCACTGGCAAATAATTATTGTTGCCCAGGGCAAAGCCATTCAGTTGCTCCAGAACATTGGCCGCACACTGCGCGGTCACCACATGCTGATCAAAGTAGGCCATTTGCTGACACTTGGCTGTAGTGGCCTCAAAGTTAAACTCATTGCGTGAGTGCTTCTTTACCTTGCCGCCCTCGGCTACATCGATGCTGAATTTCTTTGTGAAGAGTTTGCCAATCTCCTTGGACATTTTCTTAACAGCGTGCTTCTTTTCGTCGCGCTCCTTGCCAACGCCATATAGCAATATATAGCGCTGATTGCTTTCGCTGCTGTAACTGGACATGCTGGGATCGTCCTGCGGTATGGGAAAGTGCTTGGTGTACACGTAGTGTCTGGATATGCTGACGCCAGTGGCGGGAGTATCAACGCCACCCTCTCCGTCGCCAGGTGGTCCAATTTTTGGACTATCGGGAGCCTCGTGCTGTTGTCCCTTTTCCTTAATATTTTGCACCAGCTTATCCAAATCATCATCCACATTGGAGTCATCGAACTCATTGTGCTTAAAGTCAATGCCTATGCTTGACCCGAAACCATCGTCATCGAAACCGTGAGTAGTTGCGCTACTATTAGGAGGAGGCGGCGCTGGCGGCGGGGGTGAACTTTTCGCTGTTGTCTTGTGAACAAGCATCGACTCCAAGAGAAGATCGCCACGCGAGATTAGCGTGTGCATGTACGCATTATGCGAGAAGACATCGTGACGTATGAGAGCACTGAACAGCTGTACTAAATTGGTGAACTCGGTGCGCTGCTGTGGAGTGCTATTATGTTCATCTAAGACGGGCGCATCGTGATCCAGAAAGTGCATTAGAACGTGCTGAAAGACGGGCAGACCGTCAATAATGCCCGCACCAGAGGCCAGCGAATCCTTATCTTCTTTATCGCCACATTGATCAGCTGGAGTACTCGTTACATCAATCTGACGCTTGTCCAGAAGAATTGCCACTACAATGGCTCGATGCTCTCCCCAACGCTGGCTGGATACTGCCCACTCGCAAAGAATACGCACCGTATCAGCATCCTGCTTTGGCTCGTATGGCGGACGCGGCTGCTGTTGCTGCTGTGGATCCTCCTCGGGGCGGCGTAGCTGTGTGCTTTGTGGTGGAAATATGTGTGCATAGAGCGTGTCAATTGAATTGCACTGATCCATGCGCTCAAAGCAGTGCGTGTCCAGGTGATCCAACGTTGCAAGCACAGTGGTATAATGATTCTTTCCAGCGCTCAGCCACTTGGAAGCGAACCAGCGTTGTTCTGCGTGCTGCGTGCGCAATACAATCTCCGCCTCGGCAGCACGTAGCTGTCGGCGCAGTTCGTGATTGGTGCGTGGACAACGAGAAGGCATTGGCAAAACTGAGGGAGCCAGTGGCAAATGATCAAGGGGACTCCCCACCAGGGATGAGGGCGCACGATGTGCCGCTATGCCGCTCCACACCAACGCAGTGGGACACTCGATAGTAATCACCTGCAGTATGGTGCTCAAATACAGAATGATGTCACGATGATGCGGGCAGTTCATATAGTCATGAAGTGCCTGCTCATACGGATCAATAGTTGGCTGTTGTTGCTGTTGCTGGTCATCGGCCCCATCTATCTCCATGGCCTGTGACTTGATGACCGCCTGTTGTTGTTGCTGCTGTTCAACAGCCACATTGAGTAGCTGAGCCAGCTTTTTGGCCACTAGATTTGCCATCTTACGGCACAGCCTCTCTGACTGGACAAAGTCGTGCATATACTGCAATGCAAAGCTCAGCACAAGTTTCTTTAGGTGCTCGTCGAAACTGGCCTGTGTGCGCATCTTGTCCAACAGATCCAATATCCAATTAAGAAACTCTTGGCGATCAAGCAACGACTCCTCGTACATATACTTGCTTAACTGGTGGCAATACTTCCAGTATTTTAGCGCATTGCGGCTATCCTCGAACTGACTGCCAATACCCGAGATACTCGAGCCGGGTGGCACGGCACCTGCATTTGCTCCAGCTGCGCTACCAGTAGCAGAGCTGCCCAACGTAGCCAACGCTGTACCTGGCGGCGCAGATGCTCCAGGCACAGCGCCGCCAGCTGCAGTGTTACCGGCGGCACTGGCCTGGCCATTAGCTGGACTGTGTATGGGAGGCAGTGGACTGGACATGCTAGGCACCGGTATAACGTTGGAAGTGCCACTGCTCACACTGCTGTTATTGCTGCTGCTGTTATTGTTGCTGCTGCTGCTGCTGTTCGCAGGACCATTGCTGTTACTGCTTACACTGCTAGTGGTAGATGAGCTGCTGCTGCCATTCGCTTGTATTCCATTCTTATCGTGCGCTAAAACGAAATCGGTTATTATACACTCTATACTAAATAATTCTTACTTACATTGCTGATAATATTCTTGCAGCTTTGGCAAGAGCTCTTTCATAAACTTGATCATATTGCTAGTCCATTCCGCTGCAGGATCATATATGCTGCGCTTTTTGTTTTTCGACTCAGTGAAACTTAGCGTGTATGCGGCGCTAAGTTTGATAAACCATGTAGCTCGTTGCATATTGACTTGGTTCTCGCATAGCGTTATAAAGATTTCCTCCTTTTTGTTAAAAGAGGGCGCACGTTTTGCCAGACTAAGCAGCGGCTTATTGCCAGCCAAGTCCTTGAACCACGCATCCACTGTACACTTGCGACGTGGCGACACCGGCCAAAAGTTATCCTTGCAATTAATTTGCTGCTTCTTTCGTACCGTGTCTTGTAGCGTCATCAACTCCTCTTTTTTGGCTAGCACTCCGCTAAAAAACGCGCTCACCTTGCTAGCATTTACATTCGAAGTATGCGCTGTGCCGAACTCGTCAGTAAGCTGTGGCGCCGTTGTAAAGCCATGTTTCACATGAGTGGGCGTCAATTCGTCCTCGCGTTGCTTGGCGTCTTGCGGGTAGATATCCGGCGGTCCCAGACGTGTGCGCTTTAGCGGTCGCTTCTCCTGCAACAACGAAAGCATCGTTGCAGCTCTTAAAATCTGATTTTACGCAATACTTTGCAAGTTTCTTCGCAATTTTCACTTTTCTCAGACACAACAAATAACACGAAAACAAATGTATGTATATCGTTATCGGACATTCGATTTTGATTGCAATTTAGGGTTTTACAACACTTGGAAATTAGGGATGAGCATATTATTTTCTTATCGATATCTAAC